CTGCCTTAGGGCGATGTAATCCTCAGTTTTGTGACCTCGCTCTTGGTGGAATTTGCAGAGGGCGTTTGACTTTCTGATGCTTGGGTCTGACCTAATATTTTGTTACCACTTTACTTTTGGTCCGAGCTTCTCCAATGCGTAGACTATTTCTGAGGGTGACACACAAAAATTGTGAGGGGATAATAAAAGGGGCATACCTCTCTCGTTCCGGTGAGTCCCTGTCCTTGGTTTGGATTGGCCCTCTTTGTGACGGGAGGGGGGCATGATGGCGCTTCTGATGTATGGTGATGCCTTTCTCGGTTGGGTCGCGGAGCTGCAAGATCCCTCATGGCATAATTTCTTCGATCCTTCCTGGATTCGGCCTACACCGAGGTCAAACGATGAGTTGGCCCATTCAGGTCATCTTCATCTGCATGGACCTCGGCACAGTAGGCGTTGTGTATTTCATCCGAAGTTGTTGGAGGATATTTCGTAAGCCGACTTAATAATTTTCTGGTCACCCTTGAGCCATTCCTATTCAACCCGTTTTGGAAAGCTGCTACAGCCATTCCTTCCGATACATTCGGTAATGCCATCCTTACTCGGTTGAATCGAGCGAGCAAGTCCCTCAATCCCTCTCCGGGCGATTGTTTGATGGCAAGTATACCGTTCAATCTTGCCTTAGCCTTTTTGGCCCTAGCATGGGCCGTTAATGACTTATCAGCCATCTCTTCGAACGTTTCGATGGAACGCGCGTGCAGTTGTGAATACCAAGTTAATGCTCCTCCGGTGAGGGTCTCGCCGAATATTTTCAACAAGATGGAGGATACTTGTTCTTTGGCGAGATTATTGCCTTTTACCGTATTGACATAGTGAGTCACATGATTTTCGGGGTTGGTCGTACCATCATATATTTTCAGATAAGGCGGCATCTTGAATGTCTTGGGTATGGCATGCGGGGCGGCTTCATCACTATAGGGTTGCTCAACGAACCGACCAGTATCTCTTTTTGGCAAGAGTTTTGGGGCACCCGGTATTTTGTTGACTCTTTCTTGCTGCTCTCTCATTTGGTCCCGAAGCATTTTATTCTCATTTTCCATTTCTTCCATCTTCCTCAGAATGGCTGTGAGGGTATCGTCACCTTCATTATTAACATTGTGAGTGATACCTGTTACTGGAGGGAGAGGACAGTGTTGCTCGGCCGTTGTCGGTGTAATACTAGTCCTTGCGTTTTCTCTAGCTGCCTCCTGGGCGGGCTTGTCGAGGATGCTAGTTAGCGTGTTTGTTAGCCAAGCCTTGAGTAGTTTTTTCACTGCTGGTGGTGCCTCTTCTGTCGTGGACGTGGAAGCTTCTTTACCGTGGGATGTTGTGATAGTGCCGTGAGGAAGGGGCGACCCAACTCGCCTGGGGGAGGCGTTGGGCGTTATATCCTTGCCTTCTGTTTTAGTAACCTCATTGATGGTGTTCAAGAAGTTGGTGGTGAGATCGGCCACTGCCTTCATCCTTTCTTCTCCATTACCTGCCATGTCAGATCCGTATGTACAAGAAAATTTTTTTTTTTTTTTTTTTTTTTTGTAAATTGTGCTAGTTATAGATCTAGGAGAAACTAAAAATTTAAGTAGAAAATTCTCAAAGACGGCGCCAAATTGTTTGACCAAAAAGTGTAAATATTTGATTAAACTAATTAATTTTATGTAATGAGGGATTAAGTCTAGTTGATATTAATATCCCTGAATTTATAACTAGCTAACACAAATAACGTAGGATAACGTTGGTGGGGGATTAAATGCAGTGTGCATTTAATATTTTAAGGGGAGTAATGATAGAAGAATATCAAGCAATAAATAACAATAAATGGCATTAACGTAAATAAGGAGAATGATTCACCCAATATCGAAAGAGGTGGATGAAGCTTCTTTCTGACAGTGACGAGTGATAGACAAATCCTAGAATATTAGAACTATTCTCAGATCTGATGGAAAAGTCTGGAATAATGGATGGTAGAATCTTATTAGAAAGGTATTGTTTGTATCTTTTCTAGAGAGAGTTTCTTCTCAAAAGATGCTCTTATCAGAAAGAAAAATATTACATACCTCTTCCTCTTATCTCTTTTTCTATTTATATGAGATATATCCCTGGTCAACCCTAAAAGTACCAGTACATAGAATATTCAGTGAAATATTTCCTTAAATATCCTATTACCAAAACTAGCTGTTAGTACCGTCCTTGATACTTGACCTCGGCCGTTAATGACCGCCCGACTACGAGCCCTGTTGTCCACTGGTCGACCTCGGCCACATCACTTTCCACAATACCACTCCATGTTAATTCCCATTGAGGCATATTTTGACCTATACAATTGATACTATTAGGTAGAGGATTTATCCTATTATTTGATTTACAAATACTCCATTCAAATAGATATTATAGGCTATACTTTATCCTTGTTAACATGCTCACGAAATTAAGGAATCTCCTTGGTAAGTGGAGATTAAGATACTGTATACCTTCCAATAATCTTCAAATGCCAACTTAAATCAAAACCTAGCTCGATATGCTTTACAATAAGGATTATTGTTAAGTAGTTTAATTTGCTAGAAGATTATCTCACCATAATCTTTGTGCAGATAGTAAGCAACATGTAGCTCCTTGATTTAATCAACAAAATCCCCTCTGCATGGTAAAATTTTATTTTACTCAGTATTTACATCAAATTATATTAATTCATAAAAAGTGACCTTAAGTAAAAATAATTACTTATATTCTCAATATATTTGTAAGTCATTGTGTTAAGTACAATATTTTTCAAATAGAATATTCTTTCTATTGGAGTATGCTCCTAGTTTATTTTGTAAGTTTGTTTGTTGATGATTTAGTCAAATAAAAATCTTTATCATGAGTTAAAAAAAAGAAGGTACAATATTCTTATTTTATTTACAGTACAATTTCTAGCAAACATCCAATAATCGTTCATCCACTAGTACTTTACAAAGTCAAACATAACCTTCACGATGTGGAATGGTCAAAACTAAAAACTAATTATCCATTACCTAAAATTGCCTACTCTAATGGTCATTTACTAGATTGTCATCCATTTTATCCACTATTAGTATTTTTTCAAGTTTTTAACACTTGTGTTGATTTTTTAAATATCGGTAGATCCACGTAAAAATAAATATTCACTTGTAATTTCATCAATTTGTCAGCCCTAACAATGATTTTGTAGACTGCATGAGCTAGATTAATCAGGTTACAGGTATAAACAAGTACTATTCACTAGTAACGTTTCCTTAAGCTGTCAACCCTAATTTTGATTTTGTAGATTACCCTAGATTTATGAACCCCATGAACGTGAAGGAGGAGAGAGGGAAATGAAAAAAATTTACAACCCTAATTTCAAAATTATTCTCTTCTCCTTAATTCATTTTGGCATAATATTTATTAGGAGAAAATTGTAACTTAATTATAGTATTATTTGTTGTATAAATATTCATATTTTATTTTTAAAGAGTGAGATAAATTGTGCTCGATTTGCTATAAAGCCTTAATCAATTAGCCCTGTCATATATTGAATTTTTTTAGAATAATATGATATTATAAAGGGACCTATTATAAATAACAGAAAATTTGATGAAAGTATTGTTTTTGTGTGGGCACTAAAATTGAACAGTCAAGACCAGGCTCAAAAGTGGTCCCAAAATCGCAAAACCAATAAAACCTTTGTATTAAAAAGATAAAATAAACCTTTAAATCTATAGCGAAAGAAATAAAAATATTAGCAACCTTAGTACGAAGAAACTAAAAAACAATGCTAAAAGTAAGTGGACACCCAAACAAGCCGTAACCTCCTGGTTTATGGTGACAGGTGTCAGCAGTGCGAATTAATTAAGAAAAGCCCCTCTAATTAATTTAGGAATCCCCATGCCTGCTAGCTAGTGCATTTATAGTGTTTAAGTTGTGTTTTAAATACTCACTCCATTCACTTTTACTTGTCCAACATTCTAAAAATATATTTTTACTTTTACTTGTCATTTTTAACATATCAAAAGAAGACGATTTATTTTTTTCCTGTTATACCCACAATATTAATTACTCATTTCAAATCATTTTCTCAAATTCATTAAAAATATGCATTATTTAATACGGGTATGATGGTAAATTATGCATTTCATTTATTATTTTTTAAGAGGTGTGCAAAGTCCATAGTGAACCAGTAAAAGTAAACGGAAGGAGTAGATTTTATTTCTCTCTCCGGGACCAATCACGACGATTATTTTGATTTCCTAAAGTTAGGTTAGTCTTTAGTTAATTTAATTACTGAGCTAAACTGATTGATAACCTCATTAATTTTTACACAAGCAGGTATAGCTCATTAGAGAATTACTGAGAATGCAACTTCCAAATACCCTTGTTTGACTTCAACTTCAAATATCTTTTGTTTTGAACTTCAACAATTGCTCGGCTGCTAGGCAAGAACTTTATATATATGTTGTTCAAATACCTACTTTTTAATAGTTTGCGATGATTTTTTATTAAAACAATGGATATTCATTGAAACATAATTTAAAATTCAACCATATATATATTAGAATTTTTATTTCCATTATAGAATTCAATGAGGTATAATATTTGTGATTTACGTTTTTTTAGAGTAATTACACTAAACACCTCTATAATATGACTCATTTACATATGAGTGCCTTGTATTTTAAAATCAATCACCTACACCCCCCTATATTATAAAAATCGTACACAAATATTAGATTGGACAATATTTTTATTTTACAAAGGTGTTAAGAGTTTAATTTTAAGGAACATTAGGTATAAATAGAGTGACCAAAAGACAACGTAAATTTACAAATAGAAAGCTCATATATTTACGAATAAAACCTTCGACACGCCACTAACTATAAGTAGATAAATAAAAGAAAATATAATGTGAAAGTGTGTTGAACTTCATAAATTAAGAAAGGAACTTTATTAATTAATAATGTCACATGAAATATAATAGACATTCCCAGTACAGAAGTGATCAAAGGTCCATTAGCTGCGCGTAAGAGAGAAAATTAACCACATATAAGCCCTATAAATTGCTGGCGAGAGTACAAAAATCATTAAGCAGGTAATAATATTCGATAATTGATCAAAATTTATACATGGGACAGTACTCCAAAGATAATTCACCTATATATGATCAATTCTGTAAGGGACGCCTTATTCTACATTCATCAGGTGGTCCAATAAACAATTCTGTCTCCACATCCGATTTATCGCTACCTCCCTCTATACAAATAACTTCTCCTTCCTTCTCTCCGCTTGATGTTTGTCTCTGTTGAAGGCCTCCAAACTAAAACAAACGTAAAAGCAAATTATATAGTATGACTTATCACCTTGTAAGTTTATGCTTATAGAGGGACTCAGAGAAAAGAAAAATCAATTAAGGTTGATCGAGTCATTAGGCGGATTTAGAATTTTAAGTCAATATTGTGCGAAAAATATCACTATTGTGGCAATGGATATAAAAGGGCAACTCCCGCTATGTGCGAGAAATATCATTACGCTCACTAAGCTCCCGCTATGCGCGAGTCCGGAGAAGGACCGGACCACAATGCTCTACTGCATTTCTGGAAGTGATTGTTTCCATGGCTCAAACCCGTAATCTCCTGGCAATAACTTTACCAGTTACGCCAAGGCTCCGTGGCAATGAATATGTATTTAAATATTTGTGACCTAAAGATATATACCTTCTCCCTCAGCATTGCATTTTCAACTGCAAGGGCTTTCTCCTGGATATTAGACAGAACGCATGAAACAAACAATTAGTAAGTTACTTAAAGCATAAGAAGCAAGAAAATCATGCTTAGAGTCAATGATTGCAGCTAGCCTCACCTTTTCTTTCAATCTATCCATCTGTTCCCTAAAGACTTGCATCTGAAAAAAGAAAAGATAACAAGTTCCCTAAATTTCATAGGAACTTTGGAAGCAAATGTTGAACAAAAAATTAAGTAAATAAACTTGAGCTCTATCTAACGGCTTAAGCTTTTAGATGAAACAGTTACACACTTGAGTAGTGAATTGAATAGATCATTGCTTGGGGGTTGTAAGAAGAAATAAACCTTTCGCGCCCGGATGGCACTAACACTCCGCTCCAATTGTTTTTCTATTTGCTGTAGTTCTTCTAGGGTGCAGGATCCTAAACCTTCTCCCAAGAGTTTCCTGTTGCGAATTCCATTTGTTTTAGAAGAGCCTTCAGTTTTAATTACTGGGAAAGGGACAAAAAAAGTTAAAATGAAATAGCTTCTGAGATAGGGTTTGATTGAACCTTTTAGATGTATCAAGAAGTTCTATCTTCTTCATCAAACTTGCTGTCTCATGCTTCAAATGCTGCATTTTTGTATAAGCTATAGTAAGCCTTGATTTTAAGTCTTTTGCAAAACACTAATTGCCAAGGAGTCATAAAAAAAGGCACAAACCTGCATATTTTGTCCCACGGCTTGGTTTTCAGGTTGAACTTTGTCTTTAGAATGCCTCTTATAGCGCTCGACTATCTCCTGCATGCTACCAATATCTCCTTGTTACTCTTTCTTTCTTTTCTTTTTAACAGGGAACCAACAAATTAAAGGAGCTAAATAAAGTTTGACAAACAAATTTGTACTAAGCACCTTTCGCACTACTCCTGAGATAGTTAATATTTGGTCAAAATTGGAAGGTGGTAATCAGGAGTTCACGGGTTCAAGCCGTAGAAATAATCTCTTGAAGAAATGCAGGTTAAGGCTGCGTACAATAGACCCTTGTGGTCCGGTCCTTCCCCGGACCCCGCGCATAGCGGGGGCTTAATGCACCGGGCTGCCCTTTAAGCCAATACGATTGAACTATTGCATCTACTTGTTGCTAATACATGCGTCAGCATAGTTATTTACACAAAATATTTATGAAGAGTTTGAGAAAATCATAATCCAAAGAAATACTGTTTAATTTCTCAAATAGTAAATAGAGATAGAGGGAGTAGTACCCTCCTGGACTGTAAAAAAAGAGAACTTGATAGGGAAGGAAATTTCATTTCTTTATGTATAATTAAGGTTATATGTTCACACAACAAAAGCATTTGATGATTCTTTTTTTCATATACCCAAACTTTGGTAGACGGAAAAACACAGTATCTATGCAAGTGGAAAGTAGCACTAAAGGTCCACACAAGCTGAATCGGACGATACTATTTTATAAAAATAAAAATAAAAATAAAACTACATGTCTTCTCATTTGTTTCTGCGTTTGCAGTTAGGAAGCATGCCTTTGGGTGTACACAGAGTCCATTACTCAAATGGTCACTCAACTATCCCAAATTATCTGTTAAAGTCACTTTTCTTTCGTTTGTAACAACAAAGTCACTTAACTATGCCTATAGCACTCAGAAAGTCACTCAACTAGATTTTTCAAATTTTTGATTGTCAAATACCTATTTTACCCTCTAAATTATTATTTTTTTTTTAACTTTTTAAATATTATAATTTTTTTTCTCTTTTTAATCTACATTGTGGACTTACCTATAGAATAAATATATTTTATTTATAAAATAAAAAATAAAAAATTAGGTTCCAGCTCATATAATGACGGAATAACAATATAATTGAGCATAATTTTCAAGAATATATAATGTATATTATAAAAATACCTTTATTTAAATAACTATTTTTATATAACGTGCATGGAATATATATTTTACTACCTTTATTTTCTTTCATTCTCAATTGTGTAAATAAATTTTTTAATTTTTGCTGTTAATACTAAAATTATTACGAACAAATTATTCTAATTAATTTTTTTTCTATGTTCATTATTTTGTTATTCCAGCATTATATATGCTTAAATAATTTTTATTTTTTTAATTTATAAATAAAATTTATTTGTTATATAGGTAAATCCATAATATAAATTAAAAAGGAAAAATCATAATATTAAAAAGTTAAAAAAAATATTTATTATAATTTAGAGGGTAAAATAGGTATTTGGCAATCCAAAATTTGAAAAATCTAATTGAGTGATCTTATGAGTGCTATAGGTATAGTTAAATGACTTTGTTGTTAAAAAAGAAAGAAAAGTGACTTTAGTAAATAATTTGAGATAGTTGAGTAAGTATTAGGTTTTCAAAGTTAATGTCTCCTTGACATTGTTTTGGGATGCAGTAATTAGTGGGTAATAACATGGATATTCTCGACTCAAACACCAACCACAAAGAAAAGAAAGAAACATGGAAGATTTTACTGACAGAGAGATAGTATCAATGTATCATTGTTGTTGTAGTAATATATTCAAAGGGCACATAGTGATTTGGGATCTGCAGACTGCAACGTTGTGGATTGATCTCCGTACAACATAGTTCTGCCCAAAAGATTCTTATGGTGTGTTATAAAGGAAACAGCCCAAGATTAAAGCCTTTACAGGGAGCATGAAATCAAGTACTAGTAGTAGCTATTACTAACTTGACAACAGCCTCTCATACTTAAACTTCGAAGTTCACAAGAGACACCTCTTTATTCTAAACAAATCAGACAGACTTAGCTTCCTTTAAACTTTGTCAGTTAATCACTTCAAATATATGCTTATTCTGTAATCAAGTTTATGGGTAACAATAACTTTGAGTGAATGCGATGTATATAACAGAGGGCGGGTCAAGCAGGACTAGCAGATTTTTAGACTGGCAAGTTTCTAAAAAAAAAAAGGTGCATGTTAGCTTAGGCGAATCCCACGCCTGAATGGGAGAAAGTGAACAACTTTATAAGGACGCATGCTTTTGGTGCTCGATGTGGTGTAGCCTAAAAGACAAATCCGTACGGACCTAGGCTCAAAGCGGACAATACATATCATAGACGTGGGTCGTGACAAATATAATTAGTTTTCATCCCTAACGAGATATATTTAGGGGTTGTTTTGTTCAAAACCAGAAATTTTCAGGATTATAGTTCCAGAATTAAAAGCTGAATAACATATCCCACCTTCTTAGTAGGATAAGATATACCAAAATTTTGCTATAAAAAACAATATTGGTATTAGTCAATACCCTCAGCCAAACACGGATAAAATTCATCCCAAAATTTATATCAGGGTAAACCACCTAATCCCTTGACCAAACAACGCCTTTAAATTTAAAACACACATGAGATGAGGAGCACAAATTGTTTCAACTTCAACTACTAAGAACAAGATACTGTACTCTTTCGGTTGTCTTCTAATTACTCAAGAAAATTTTTGGTCCTAAGAGATTAACACTAATTCCTTTTTAGGTTATAGGAACAAAATTACATTGATAAATGAGTATCATCATTACCCTGGTAATAAAATGTCATTCAAGATGAATCTTTTAAGTTTTAACTAGGGTTAAGTTTTGAAATGGACAGTACTAAGCTCTTCATGAAGTAAGTAATTAGCTTGGAGAAAGTGTTAGTATTATGTTAATAAAGGAGGGTACACAAAATTTGTACTTCGCTCTTTTGCTTAATTAAGCATTAGGTAAGAACTAGTTGGATCTACATCTATATTTACAATATCAATTTTTGTTGGGGAGTTTTCAGGAACGTACAAGATGGGATCTGATGCGATCTGCAAGAAATGAAAATTGATGGGAAAGGTAAGAATACCTAGAGCTGNAGATGGTGGTACCTAGAGCTGGCAAATTCATAGAGCTTTCCTCTTGGAGAAAAGATAACCAATCCAACCTCAGCATCACATAGTACTGAAAGTTCAAATGCTTTTTTTAGCAAACCATTTCTGCGTTTTGAGAAAGTGACTTGCCTGCTTGTCGCGTTCTCTATACGCCTCATCTGAGTTTTTCCTCTCACCATCTCTCCCCTTCTGACTACATAAATGAAAGAAGAAGGATTGAAAAAGCAATTAATCCACGTTTTGCAAGTTTTAAGGAAGACAGAAAACATCAAATAGAAGAATGAGGAAAAGAGTATTGAAGCAAGAAAGAAAAGGCAAGGGGGTCTAACTAGCTAGTACATGTTGAGTAGCAATGGGGACTTACAAATTTGGCAAAATGCAGGTGAGACGAAAGATAGGAGTAAAGCTAAAAAGTAAGACACAAGAGAGAGAGTAGTGCAAAGTTTTGCTTGATTCTCAACCCCAATTAATGGTACTATATATATATAGTACTTTATTACTATATCATCAAAAGCAACAGAGAGACAACGCCACATACTTCTATTTCTTTCCTCATTCATGTGCTATACTCTTTCTTTCATTTTCCGGTCTTCTTCATAAGGCTCCACTATGAAAAGAAAGAAAAAGAAAAATAAATTCTTTGCTAGTTTTAGCAAACTCACAAGGTTAACTAAAAATAGAAAAAAGAGAAGTAAAAGGAAATTAAAGAGTGCCAGAGATAAAATACTCCATAAAGAGGAACAGTACATGATAAAAAATGGAAAGTTTTGGTATAATAAATGTTTGAAAATACATCAATGAGTACGATCCAATGAGATATCGAAACGCATTGGTTCTCTGAATGCTAATGGAGTAGTTGTTTTAGTGATTTGAAATGTCTAAACACTTTCCTTTATTGTAGGGTTGTGTAATATCAGTGTGACGTTATCTGTGGGAGAGACATTTCTTCGCTTCATCAATCATCTACGCATTACTGCCTTTTTTTTTTCCGAGTCCGGAATCAAAGTGTTGTTTTTTTTGGATTCAAAACACAAAAATAAGTAAAAAAAAAATAGCTGATCATCAATTTATATATAGCGCATGTCTTGAATGCGCTATACCTTAACGGCACGTTTGTCCGTTAAGGTATAGTGCATGGGTTGCATGTGCTATATGTAAACTTTACTAACTCACCAATAATTGATCCGATCCACCAATAATCGAGGGTATAGCGCATGCATAATGCGCGTTACATATATAACGCGCATTATGCATGCGCTATACCCTCAATTATTGTACCCCGGACTCATTTTTTGCTTATTTAAGGAGTTTCGGAATTTCGGTAAAAATCCATTCAAAATCCTTCAGGTCTTTCGAAATATTTGATTGCTTAACTTATTTTGTATTTTGTCATAATAACCGTAGAGTGCAAAATTAGGGTTGCATTATATTAGGGGGTGAGGTTGTGGTGGAGAATAACTTAGTATGCTATAGTTGTTCTCCACAGTATCATGTTAAGTTGCCACTTACAATGGAGTATGATAGATTGGTATCGTTGATATGTAAAAAAATGAGTGTGAGAAAATGTTCAGTTAATAATAAAGTAACTAAAAGATATTCGTATTCTGTTACTCCGCAAGGGGTTGCTTGTTATGCTGAGTTTAACATCGAAGATGATGAAACTCTGACAGATTTTTTGAGGACTCTGGATGAACACCGGGAACTTCTTGTGATAAAAATGTAAGAAATGTACGTCAAGGCTGAAGCCGTTCGCAATATTGAGGTTCCACAAAATAGGGATAACTCTCATTCATCGGGTGGTTTTCTTGGAGCAGTTTTATCCGAACAGGTTCTGTTTGAAAGAGTTTAGTCATATCTAAACTTATCTCCATGGGTGAATGAGGAGCGAGAACATAATTTCTCCCCAAGTTTATATAATCCACAAGCTGAGTGGTAAATTTCAATTTTTCTTTGTATTACGATATTTTTTTATGTATTATATTTATATTAACACTCATATATTCCAAACGGGTATCATCTAGATATGAATTTTACAAGTTATGAACCAACGAACGGTTGGAGTATGCCTAGTTTTGGTTTGTTGGATCATAGTGGTCCATCCTGGAGTCAGCAGGAACAGGATAATATGAATCATGGGATATCAACAGATTATGATTTGTAAGTTAAGTGATAAAGTTTATATGTAATATTTGGATGAATTTGAGAAACTCATTATTTTATTGGTTGTGCAGTAAAAACGAGCAACTTAAAGGTCTTGTCCTTACTCAATTGTTCGAAGACGATATATTTAATCGGGATCTGATAGATACGTAGAGTCAGAAAGATGATAGTAATTATGATAACAATGCTAATGAGTCTGGAGATGACACACCATTCCCTAATGAGGGTGATGATGATGAGGGTGAGAATGATGAACCTGATTTGACGAGGGAGCATGATGCCACTAATGAGCATGCTTCATATATGCAGACTCTACCTCCCGTTAGACCGAGAGTGTACGAGTCTCATGTGTCGCTTTATTCAAGGGAGACTCCCTACCTTGATCGGTTTTCCCAGTATGCCAGATGTGGATGCCCTCACAAGGGATCTTGACGATATTCGGATAGCAATGTGAAATGAATCTAGACCAACGGTGCTGTCAAAAAATATGTTTTTTGCTGATAAAGCATGTTTAAGTAGGGCGGTGCGAATGTACACATAAAAGAGTGCCGTGAGATCGTGGTTCATTAGTCATCTCCGGAAGTATACAAGGTTATTTGTCGTAGATGGTTTCAAGGTTGTACATGGATGCTGCATGCGAGGAAGTTGAAAACAAATATGTGGATTGTGGGGAAATACATTGGCACCCACACTTGTGGAATGGACACATTTAGTGGGAATCATTTTAGCTTGAATGTTGACTTGATTTCTCTTGTCTTGATTCCACATATTGAATCATCCATAAGGTACAAGATTAAAGAGTGTATAACATATGTCCACCAGGTTATGGACGTGCCATTACCAAAAGAAAGGCATTTCTCGGGCGTAAACGTGCATTTGAGATTGTTTATGGTAACTGGGATAAGTCCTTTACCACCCTACCAAGGTATATGGCTGCATTACCACACTTTAACCCAGGGGTTGTTGTTGAATGGATGCTTGAGCAGAGTCCGGGATTACAAGAATTCATATTTAGATATGTGTTATGGGCATTTCAACCAGCCATTGATGGTTTTGTGCATTGTCGGCCGGCAATATCCATAGACGACACTCATGTCTATGAAAAGTGTGATATTAAATTATTGATCATCGTTGCAGTAGATGTTAATTAAAGCATATTTCCCCTCGCATTTGCTATTTGTGCTAACGAAAGCCAAGAGACGTGGACATTATTTTTGAACCACTTGAAGGAGCACATTGTCAGACAACGTTCAGGTATTTGTCTAATATCTGGTCGGCATGGCAGTATTTTAAGTTCTATACAGAATTTGCGTGCATGACAAGGACCATATGCCTACCATTGTTACTGTGTTAGGCACTTAAAGGCTAACTTCCAAAGGGCTCATCCGAACAAGGACTTACATGATTTAATGTGGATGGTTGCAACAGATCACCAAGAGTGTAAATTGAGGAGGCGAATGGAATTGATTAGGCACGAAGACCAAGAAGCCTATCGTTGGTTGATGGGACATGATCTTGACAAGTGGATTTTACATAAGGATGGTGGTAGAAAATGGAGAATTTTGACTACAAATGTATCAGAGTCTTTCAGCGGGTTGTTGAAGTCTACACGTGGATTGCCTGTCACTGCCATGGTGCGGATGTCATTTAAGCAGATAATGGAGAGGTTTGTTGAAAGATCTAGAGGTGCATCGTCATTGATGGAAAGAGGTGTTGAATTTATGCCATAGCCAATGAAACGATTTGAGAAATATAGGAAGCGAGCACAGTGGCATACATTTTTGCAGTATTGCAGCGAGCGAAATTTTTTTGAAGTTCGCACTATTCTGCATAAAAATGCGGGAATAATACATACACCGTCAATGAATCCAGAAGATTATGCTTGGGTGGAAAATGGTCAATCTATCACTTTCCATGCTCACATGCCATGAAGTACTTTCAACATGCATGTTTTGCGGCAATGAGGTACGTTGATAAAGAACATAATGTTGCTGCATACGTAAACACCTATAGTAGATAGTTGCAGCCAGTGGGTGATGAGCATTATTGGCCGTCGGAACCATTTAAAATGGTATGTAACAAGGATTATGTGCGTCAACCTTAAATGCAAAAAAGAACGCGGATACGAAACCAAATGGATGTTGGTGATACCGTTTATGCACGTAAATGTGGCATACGTTCCCAAACAGGACACGGTTGCCGTAAATGTCCTTCAGCTGGTTTGGAAAGCAGTGGTAATTCAGCTTCAGGTGACAGCTCATCCAATGTGCCCAACTATCAAGGATAAACGTAGTGTTTTGTTGCAGTATTTTTGTTGTACTAAATGTATGTAAAGGTTCAATTTGCAAAATTTCTGAAATAAAATTATGTTTCCAATATGGTTAAATCTAATTGATATTTAACATTGAAAATTCAATACAACAATTTAAAATATTCCCCAAGAAACAAATAACAATTTTCATTCACCATTATCGTCACTGTCTGGCACTATTTCATTGTCACTATCTTCATCTTCTTCGTCAACATCTTGTACGCACCCTTCCGGACCGAGGGAACCGTAATCTAGGCTTCAGTTGACACACATTTCTCGTATTTCATCGCTATCATCAGTAAGACCACTTGCTTGATTTCTACAATAATATGGGACTCCTGCGTCCAACGTTTGCGGTAGAAACTTAGGTAGTCCCTCCCACTCGACATCTGTTGGGAAAACAAGATAATCAATGTCTCTATGCAATTTTTCATTTTATAATAAATCCCAATACTGATCTTCCATTCCTTACAGGTAGTTAAGATCATCCAGTGCATGATGAACAGCTAGTGCACTTTCCATCTCTAAAATCTCTTTCATCAAATGTCGAATCACTTCTGGTTCATCTTTGTGTGTATTTGTTTGGAAGGTTGCAGACAGTGCGTGTATAACGACCCGACCAGTCGTTTTGAGTATCACAACCCCGTTTCCCCATTTACTGCACAAATTATACTTTACAGTTGTTATGTAAATTACCGGGGTAATTGGTTCGGGTCCGGTAAGATTTGGAATGAATTGGAACATTTAGTTCCAAGGTTTAAAGCTTATGTTAAAATAGTGACCGGATGTCGATTTATGTGTAAACGATCTCGAAATGGAGTTTTGATAATTTCAATAGCTCTGTATGGTAATTTTGGACATAGGAGCGTGTCCGAAAAATTATTTGGAGGTACGTAGTGGAATTTGGCTTGAAATGCCGAAAGTTGAGTTTTTGGAAAATTTGACCAGGGAATGACTTTTTGATATCGAGGTCGGAATCCGATTCTGGAAATTAGAATAGCTTCGTTATGTCATTTATGACTTGTGCGCAAAATTTGAGGTACATCGGACGTGATTTGTTAGGTTCTGTAGTCGTTTGTAGAAACTAGAACTTTTAAAGTTCATTAGGTTTGAATTGGGGTGTAAATCATGGTTTTAGCGTTGTTTGAGGTGATTTGAGGGTTCGACTAAGTCCGTATGATA